CCCTCCCCCACCCAGGTACCAGCAGGCACCACCTTCGTTCCCTCCCTGCAGGTTAGAAGGGTGGTTAGCACAGCAGAAAGGAGTTTTCTGAAACCGTGGACTAGTGGAGGGGAGCGTATGCTGAACCGTCATTTTCCTACCTCCCTGCCCTCCTTGGCCTGTGCCGCGGAATCCTTGCATTAAGTCAGCTGCGCAGTGAATTCAATTGTTCTGTCCCCTTAGACTGGGCTGGAAGGTGTGGCAGGTCATGGCAGCGTGGGGTACTGCTTTACCCCTGTGGTTCAGAGCCGTCGGTTAAACGTGCTTGATAAACCTGCGGGTTGTTTATTACAGGGTGCCTGGGAAGGAGGTGAGAACTGCCAGCCAGCCCACCATCTCCTGCCAGTAGGAGGACCCTTCTGCAGACGTGGGTCCTTAGAAGAGTTCAGCCTCTCAACAGAAGGTGTTTGGCCAAAAACCATAAGATGAGGTGGACTTTAGAACAACTCTTCTAGAAACTCCAGATAGCAATTTTGTGTAGGTTCTCATCAAAGCACCTTTTCTGAGAATTTTCTACTGCCTAACTTTTATCAGATCTCAACCTGGAAAGTCTATATTTAGGAAAACTCTTTTTTAAATGTGCTGCTGTTGAGTATATTCCTATTGCCACACAAATTCTACTCTCATACATTATGTTTTTTAGTCCTGAACGCGAGTTCCTTCAGTGTTACACCTGCTCAGGTGTTATCCAAAGTAGAAGGTAAAAGCCAGTGGAATGAATTTGCTACCTCTTCTGTAGGAATGACATTGAGAGCACCTTTCACTGTGCCTTTTGTAAAGTGACATATGGGGAGTTTCTCTTGCCAGTTAAAATAAGGAAAAACTTGGCTTCCTTTGTATCTTTCCTCTTTTCTAATAATTAATACTCACTTTGCTAGGTGTTGAGATTTTTATTGTTATAGTTTCTCTCTAATTTGGTTTTGAGGTCTTTCTCGTGAGCTGGACTGAAAATCTGGAGGACTCAGGCTAACCAGCAGATGAGAAAGAGAGACAGAGAGACAGAGAGACAGAGAGGAGAGGGGACCAGTAGGACTAAAGCCTTTACCAGGTCCAACGCATTATTCAAGCAGTTTCCAATTGGAATTCTAATTGACCAGTATAGCAAACAGTTGCTAGGGCCACCCTGTGACTGCATGGTGGTCACTGTGGCATATCTGCATACTCGATGTGGGTTATGGGAGTTAGGGGAGAGGTAAGGAGACTAAGTGTAGCTATACCATAGGGAACTGGTCGCCAGGAAGGTATAAGGCAAATATCTAGATCTACCACACGGAGAAACTGGAAGATAGAGAACTGGAGACTGAGCCCCGATTCTGGTATGAGAGAGTTAAACATTAAAAATGGCTGACAAACAACAAAATTATAAGAATTTTTAGAATTTACTGTGCTAGAAAACTAAAATATATATATTCATATTTTATATGAGGTCTCTTTGTTGCCCATGCTGGCCTTGAACTTGAAATCCTCCTGCCTCAGTCTCCCAAGTACCTGAGTTTATAGGCATTCATCAGAACACCCAGGAGAAACTCAAATTTTATTTACAACTCAATTGCAATTATTGCAATTATTTCATTACTTGTATTGGTCTCTCATTGTTTTGATATTTTTATGTTGGTTCTTCAATAGATTGTGAATTTTTTAAAAGGGGTTAAACAGAGGACTTGGCACAATGCTATTTAAAATAATATAACCTCAGATGTGACTGATTAGGACAAATACAGAAAAATAATCATAAATTGACTGGATTACATAAGAAAAACAGGATAGACTACCAGTGTTTCAGTGGGCTGTCTTCCCTATCATTTGTGATTTTTTTCCCTTATTTAGAACAGTCATGTCATTATCCCAAGTCTGTAACAAAAATTGATTCTATTTTATCTTATTTTATTGGTACTAGGAATCAAGCAACCTCTGAGCCTTGCACATGCTAGGCACATGCTCTATCACTGAGCTATGCCCAGCCCCCAAAAAATTCTTCTTCAAATTAATGCAAGTGGGGCTGGGGATGTGGCTCAAGCGGTAGCGCGCTCACCTTGCATGCGTGCGGCCCGGGTTCGATCCTCAGCACCACATAACAACAAAGATGTTGTGTCCGCCGAGAACTAAAAAATAAATATTAAAAATTCTCTCTCTCTCTCTCTCTCTCTCTCTCTCTCTCTCTCTCTCTCCCCTCTCTCACTCTCTCTTTATAAAAAAAAAATTAATGCAAGTAACTAACATCACCATGACCATCACAGCCTGTCAAGAATAACAATAGAGAACTGTTAAAGGCAGAAATTTAACATATTCCAGATCAAACCAGACCCATAATTACTTAATTTTTGAGACATTAGTAAGATATATTTAAATATTTCATGCTTCCATTTCTTCATCTACAGAACAGCTAGTTTAATATCTACTTCAACTTATGAATTCTTTAACTTCAATTTATTCATTATATAATAATGACTGTGCCTATTTTATTTGCTTAATAAGTGTGTAGTGCACTCGACACCAGGAAATGAAAACAGAAGAGATAATATTAGCTACCATTTACCAACTTCCTTTTTCAGTCTATTCAGTCTGTCTTAGAAAGAAAACTTTGAAGTTGGCATTATTATCCCGATTTTTATAGATAAGGAAACTTAAGATAAGTTCTTACCAAAGCCCACAGCTTGGAAGCCAAGGAGCTGGAATTTAAATCCCAATATATCTGACCCCCAAAGCCCTTGATTTTAATCATTGTTTTGCACAGCTTTTGATAAATGTTAAGACATTCAATATAATTTAATTCCCTCTGGTTCCTTTCCACTCTTTAGTAAAAGACTGTAGAGTATGAGGCACAAATGTGAGTATCCATTTGGAAAAAAAAGCTAGGGCTGGGTGTTTGAAACAGCAAGAATGGAAAGGCTGAGGTCGAGTATCACACCTGATAATCTACTGAACTAAATTCAGATTTTTACCATCTCCTTATAAGATGGAGATCTTTGCCTCCATCCATCTCTGGGTTAACAGATCTGTCACATCTCTGATGTGTGACGGCACTGGGCTCCAGGAGAACAGCCTGGCCCACAGAGCATTCATTACTAGACAATTCTGCTGCCAAGGAGAGCATGGATGTCACCTGTAAAATGAAACCATTACCAGGGAACTGCTGACCACAACTGCAGAGACACACATGGCTGAGATAAATAGAATGGGAGCGATAAAGCAGAACTATGAACTTTTTGAAAATGAGAGCACACTTTGAAATTACTTTGTCCGAACAATAAAAGAAGTAATATATTAGTTAGCACAAAGATGGGCAGCTGTATTAAAGATACCCATGAATGCAGTTGTTCAAACAAGGAACTGTTAAAAGTCCAGGAATAGTCTTAGACATGGGATTTACATCTCTGGGTCTAAGGTGACACTCCCTGTCACCATCAAGATGGGGAAAAAATGAGCTAAGTACAATAACTCCCCTTATCCACAGCTTCACTTCTCATGGTGAACTGAAGCTTAAAATATTAAAAGAAAAAATTCAGAAATAAAGAATTCATAAGTTTTAAATCACAAGCTGTTCTAAGCAGCTTGATGAAATCTTGTGCCATCCTATCCCATCCCTCCAGGACATGAGTCATCCTTTTTCCCAGTGTATCCATGATGCATATGCTATCCTTCCGTTAGTTACTTAGTAGCCATCTCAGTTATCAGATTAACTGTCACCATATAGCAGTGCTTGTATTCAAGTAACCCTTATTTTCTTAGTAACGCCCCAAATTGCAAGAGTATTGATGTTGACAATTCAGATATGCCAAAGAGAAACTGTAAAATGCTTGCTTTAACTGCCATTACAAGTCATTACAAGAAGGAGAAATTTACAATAAGACATTTTAAGAAAGAAAGATCACATTTACTTAACTTTTCTTACAGTATATTGTAATTGTCCTATTTTATACTATTGTTAATCTCTTACTGTGCCTAACCACACACAGAGAGAGAGTCTGGTAGAGTCCATAATTTCAGGCATCCACTGGAATCTCAGAATATATCTTCTGTGGATAAAGGAAGACTATGATGTGTTCTATCAAGGGAAAGACTTAGAAAATAGCGTATGTCCCTTCCTCTCACATTCTACTGACCACACAAGCAGCAAGGTGGGGCTAAAAAAATGTGCCCTATCACTGGGCCACACACCCAGCTACAAGTTGATTAGTATGTGCAAAGAAGATTACAGATATGTGAGAACACAATCTACCGTGGAGTTTGTCTTTTTTATTTTTACTTTTAAATAAAACTTTCATGAGTCCTAAGATAAAGTTTTATAGTTCCAAAGTATGATAGGTTTCACAAGAAATAGCAGGAACTACAGACAAACTGAAAGCTCTCTTTTCACATGAGCTATCTGGAAGTTATTGCTGAGCAAAGCTTCAGAATGGAAGGATAATATGAAATATGAGTCTATGAATTGTTTACATTTGACTATTGCAACCATATTAAACCTGAATAGTTCTATGGGATTTTGTCATCTACATGTACTACATTATAAAACTATGAGAAACAATTTCAAAGGTCTGTATCCACATAGCTAATCATCAAAAGATGACAGAAAAACCTACAAAAGGTAGTGTTCAAAGTGACATAGTTACCATCTCAGGTTCTGTAAATCTCCTGAAGTTTTAAATAGACACTTTAAAGTTCTATAACTTAAAGACACAAAGAAAACACAGTACATTTCAAGAAGAATGCAAAATTATACTCATACTTCAGTCCCAAAATAAAAATTAAAACAGCACCATCTTTATTTCTTTGGTATTTTTTTAATGCTGTTGTTATTTCTAAATTTTTCCTAAGGTCCTGTTACTAGGGTATGTTTTTATAACACAACTCTGAACTGTATTTACCCAAAACAATTCTGATCCTGTTATGGTTTAGGTTATAAAGTGTCCTCCAAAAGCTTGTGTATCAGACAATGCAAGAATTTTAAAGGATGAAATAATTGATTAGATTATGAGAGTTGTAAACTGATCAGTGGATTAATACTCTAGGAATTAACCAGGTGATAACAATAGGCAGGTAGGGTGTGTCTGGAAGAGATACATCACTGGGGGCATGCCTTTGAGGTTTATATTTTGTCCCTGATAAGCAGAGCTCTCTCTCTGCTTTATGGTTGCTGTGTCCTGGGCCACTTTCTT